TTCATTATCCTCTGAAACAGACTCCATTGGTGTAAAAGGTAAAATAAGGGGGAATGATATGAATCAGGGTTTTACAAACTGCGCATCCAGTATGCACAAATGTGGGGAGAGGACACTGAAAAAACATTCACTGTCCAGAGGGACACACAATATTGTTCACTGTATCTACACCATGTGTATGACTCTGCTAAGTGTTTGGTTGTTTCTTTCAGAGTAGTTACATGCATCATTTCATCCATCAGTCCACATTTCTGGATTAACAGAACCGTCCTTATAAATATGTAGATGTTACTTCCAGTGTTTGTCCATTAAGTAGGACAGTCAAGCTCAAGGCTATAAGGAGATTTCAGTATATCTGAACATCATCACACATCAACAAAATACACAGCCATTCTAAACTCTAAGAGAGAAACCTTTAATAAACATTGGTCAACCGGTCACATTCTCTTCCCAAGATAAAATAGTCAAACATTTATGCATCCATTTGTCTTTGTAACCCTAAAATGCAACTGAAAAGAAAAGTATTTAAAATATCATCATTGGTATTATTATTATAGCAATTCAGTTAAAGCTTCCAGTGTATCATTCCCAATATTATCCTGAGATCTCAGCCCAACAGATTGATCTGCCACAAACACTACAGCAAGTACAACAGGTGTTGGGTTTCCATCTTGTGACTGTCCTCGACACGGACCAGACATTACAGCTAATATTGAATCAGACCGAGTGGACCATGGGTAATGTCAGTGAATGTGCCAGTAAGCACCAAATGTTTCACGCAACTGACATTGATCTGTAGAAACAACGACAGGGATCTATTACTGCCAAACAAACATTGTCTCACTTCAAATGGGATGTCTGGCCACGTTTAGGAACTAGTTCATGATGTGCCGTCACACAGCAGTGTTCACCATTTCTCAGACACTGCAACATTTCTGTGGCAGAAATCAAAGTGTGCTGAAATTACCCTCGCGTTCCCCAGATATTATCACAAAGGTGTTGGCAGCATGAGGGCCAGTTGAGACATCACGCCAGACAAAAGGTAGTGAAAGTGATAACGGTTTGGCAAGAATCTAACGTTGCTCCAGACAGCGTTCATCCAGATACTGGTTTCACTTAGAGGTTTTCTTCACCTACTGCAAGGACAAGTTTTTTGTGGATTATTTATTCATGGTGTCTTCCTATTAAAAATTAAAATTGATGGCTCAAAAACAGTTGGAAATAAAAGTGAGAAATATCTTTACATTTATGCTCAAGATCAAGTTTAACAGATTTTTAACTTATCCATGTGCAACAAGGTTTAACTCAGATCTTTCTTTGGGAGATTGCTTCATTACATTTTGTGCCAAGTAGAGGATAGTTAAGAGTGAAGAGAGAAAGTCTCTGTACAACTGTGTATTTCCTGAAAACCTGAACACAGGTATCTATTTTCTTTGGCACAGTCTCATAACAGAGTAAAATGAAGTTCTCTGCACTATTTTCCATGAAACCTTGTTCCTGAACAGATATTTATACTTTGATTGAATTTTACCAAAAGCAGAATCTGACATTTTGAAGCAGCCTAAAGTTATCTTTTGATTCACGAGGATACATCTCCATTTATTGTGTCAGCTGAAGATATAGCAGCAGACGTCATTATTCAAAGGGTTATACACAAACATGGTATTTTCAAAGGCTCATTTTCAATATATCAATCAAATCTATTGTGATACAATATCTTTCAGTGTGAAGATCTTTATTCCCGATACAATATCTTTTGGTGAAAAGATCAGATGACACCACCATATAAGATGGCATCCTGTTTCAACATCTACTAAGCCTTTCAGTAGCTTTACTTTAATAGTTCCCCGCTGTGATATTGCTGGAATATTGCTAAAAGTGGCATCAAACTAAACTCACTCACTCACTCTGATATGCTGTGACATGACAAACCGGTCCAGGCTAACATTTGAAAGTAACATGGTCGTTCAAATTCGGCATGCTAACTTAATCAGGTTAGTTGAAATAGTTGTCTACTTGAAAGAGCATATCAGACACATGTCTGATGTCAGGAGATTAGAATATAATTACGAACATGCGGCAACTTGTATCCAATGGGAAGAGTGAACTCATGGGCAGATCATTCGTCCATAAACTTTTCACATGTCCACTTTTTTCTTTAAAACCTTGAGCATAATCAAGCTGAAAGTTTTCACTGGTGTTAACAAGTTTGCTCACTTCCTCTCCAGTATCAGAAACGTTGGATCTCCATGGCAACCATATAGAACAGTTAACTTGGACTACTGGTATTCCATTTAAGCAGATAATTTGATGAAATTTGGAATGTGCTTAATGTGTGGCAGGTTTCATCAAGAATGTTTCTTTCCAAGCAAATGATTGTACTGTATCCTCTTGTTCAGTACAAGATGTAAGATAATAGAAAACTACAAAGTTAATGGCATTAAATCAAATCAAAGCACTGAGATTTTGTAAAATTCACATATTCAAATACCGAATACATTGTCCAAATGAAACTTAGTATAAGGATAAAACAAATTTATCATTTTTGGGGAGTTTTTTTACTTGTCTACAAGGACAAACAATCACCATCACAAACAGAGATCATGTGACAGGTAACAATGGCTTATTTGTCTATGTAAGGGCAATGGTTGGACATGTCCCTGATTCTAGTTTGAAATTAAGAATGTTTTAAAGACTGTAAGATGCTTATACTTCTTCCAGACATCAAAGAGTAGATAAAGTCCTATCACTAACACATCCACAGGTTGTTGACCTATGATATTAAATGAAGAAAAATATGGAATCATGAGGTGAGTTGAGTTGAGTTGAGTTGAGTTGAGTTGAGTTGAGTTGGGTTTTGCGTCACATCGCCATATTCCAGCCATATAGTGACGAGAACAAGTTTGCATTTATAAACATTGTAAGTACATACTCGGAATGAGTTTTATTTCAAAAACATATATTCATTACATTGTCATTTAAAAGCAGAAAAAGTCATAGCATCAAATTTTAAAGGCAGGCAATTTGTTAGTCACATTTCACAGTTACAATTTATGATAGTTACATTTCACAGTTACAATTTATGATACAGGTCAACTTCCCTCAGGTACCGTATATGACCGTATATAAGCCGACCCCATGGATAAGCCGACCCCCAAACTTGACCCTCAAAATCAGTGTCAAAATCATATCTCTCATGGATAGGCCGACCCCCCGCGATGGGTCGCGGCCAACAGAGACCAGAGTACCCGGTAAGTATGTTCCATCAACGACAAGACACCATTACGAGAATATTACATAATAAAGATTACCGGTGTTTGTTTACCTTTTTTTAACGATCACTGCTTGCATCAACAACGAGACGCCATTTGGAAAGTGGATATACAGCGTAAGTGTTGGTGAGAATATTACATAATAAAGATTACCGGTGTATTGTGGCAACATGTGTTTGTGTTCCTTTTTATATCCCGACGATCACTGCTTGCAACAGTTCACTATCAGATGAGCGCTCACGCGGGAGAACAGAATCCTGAGGTGACATCCTGTTTTCTTGTTAATGATATGAATCACAGAGTTACCTGTCTTGTCATCAAGCCCCTTTGTAATGACTTTATCTATCACAATCATGCCCCTGCACTCATGTTAACAACATGACCCTACAAGAGTTATCATCCTTGTGATGCAACTTCAAGTTAGTTAAATGTCTCTTTAAGATTTATTCCCTGTCTTCAAGGTTTCCAATTGGCTATCTTCATTAGAATTAAGAAAATGTAACCACTGCTGCATACATGTAGGTATCAGAGTTATCCACTTTATCATTCAGCCGTCCTGTTGGATATAGGACTTTCAGAGTGATCTCCCTTGTCTTTCAGTCCTCCTGTTAGCCACGTTGCTATCAGTGTTATCCGCCTTATCTTTCAGCCCTCATATTGGCCATGTTGCATCAGAATTATCTCCCTTGTCTTCCAGCCCTCCATAGGCCATATTGCACTCAGAGGGTTATCTCCTTTGTCTTCAAGCCCACCTTGTGGCCATGTCTCTAGAAGAGTTTGGCCATGTTTCTAGCCGAGTTATCAAGCTTGTCTTTCAGCCCTCCTGTTGGCATGTCTTTATCAGAGTTATCCCCCTTGTCTTCCAGCTCTCCTACTGGTATGTCTTTATCAGAGTTGTCCCCCTTGTGTTCCAGCCCTCCTACTGGCATGTCTTTATCAGAGTTGTCCCCCTTGTCTTCCAGCCCTCATGTTGCATGTCTTTATCAGAGTTGTACCCCTTGTCTTCCAGCCCTCCTGTTGGCATGTCTTTATCAGAGTTGTCCCCCTTGTGTTCCAGCCCTCCTACTGGCATGTCTTGATCAGAGTTGTCCCCCTTGTGTTCCAGCCCTCCTACTGGCATGTCTTTATCAGAGTTGTCCTCTTTGTGTTCCAGCCCTCCTACTGGCATGTCTTGATCAGAGTTGTCCCCCTTGTGTTCCAGCCCTCCTACTGGCATGTCTTTATCAGAGTTGTCCCCCTTGTCTTCCAGCCCTCCTACTGGCATGTCTTGATCAGAGTTGTCCCCCTTGTGTTCCAGCCCTCCTACTGGCATGTCTTGATCAGAGTTGTCCCCTTGTGTTCCAGCCCTCCTACTGGCATGTCTTGATCAGAGTTGTCCCCCTGTGTTTCCAGCCCTCCTACTGGCATGTCTTGATCAGAGTTGTCCCCCTTGTGTTCCAGCCCTCCTACTGGCATGTCTTTATCAGAGTTGTCCTCTTTGTGTTCCAGCCCTCCTACTGGCATGTCTTTATCAGAGTTGTCCCCCTTGTGTTCCAGCCCTCCTACTGGCATGTCTTTATCAGAGTTGTCCCCCTTGTGTTCCAGCCCTCCTACTGGCATGTCTTGATCAGAGTTGTCCCCCTTGTGTTCCAGCCCTCCTACTGGCATGTCTTTATCAGAGTTGTCCCCCTTGTGTTCCAGCCCTCCTACTGGCATGTCTTTATCAGAGTTGTCCTCTTTGTGTTCCAGCCCTCCTACTGGCCATATGTGTGGTGGTGCTGTTCAACTTCCACATCCTCACTTCATCCACCGACGCCACCTCAGAATCCGGTGATCCTCTGAACTCTGGCCTGGTCCCTATCATCAACCAGCTGAATGGTGTCCCTCTCCAGCGCCGACTGACCAATGTGCAGGAGAACCTTGCCTTCCTTCCCAGGAACATCCACCTCCTGGACCTGAAGCAGAGTCTGGTAGTGCCAGACTTCAAATGTGTGTTGTCTCAGACTGATCCCAGCTTCCCAATCTGTGTGTATCCCCCTGAACAGGACAAGTTCATCTCAGGGGCTCTTATGCACAGTGGCGTGTGGGAGCCATACATTACTAAAGTCTTCAAGAAGGCTCTGCAGAAACACCCCAATGCTGTGGTACTGGATGTTGGAGCTAACATAGGTAAAAAGAGTGAGTGAGTGTGTGAGGTAAATTCAAACAGCTTTTGATTTAGTAAACATGACTAGAAAAGAAAAGATACATATCATTAATTATTTTGGTAAGTTTCTCTCCTTGGCTCAATGAGGACAGGTAAATCTATATCTATACCTATAAAAGGTTGCCCCATATTCCCCATTGGAGAAAGGTCTAACTTAAAGAAATCTGATAGTGTGTTACTCAAACAGTTTGTCATATTACAATATGTGATTATAAAGAATGCAAAACCTTCTAGGCCCAAAAATTAACCTTCAGTTGTAGGTTCCTACAAAGCTACCAATGTAAATTAAGTTCACTTTGATTTATGAGTCCAAGGAGATCCACAGTAAACATAATGTAGGAAGTTTTAGGACATGGACATGGCGTATATGTCAGATTTTATTATTCTTTATTACATCACTCAGTGATACTTTGATATTTCCAGGTTACTACAGTTTCCTGGCTGCAAAAATGGGTCACATGGTTGTAGCGATTGAGCCAGCAGAGGAGAATGTGTGGAGGTTTCACAAAGGTGCCCAGCTTGGTCGCCTCACAGATGTCATCTACCTGCTTCAGAACGCCATGTCTGACAGACATCAGAATATCACACTGATCACCAACAAGGACAATCAGGGAGGAATCCGAGTTAGCGAAGGCGGTGGTCAAGGAGAGACAACTGCCACCGTTACCATGGACGACCTTCTGTATTTAATGAGACCAGCAGAAGTTATCATAAAAATTGACATCGGTACTTTAATCTTTTGACTCATGCAAGCTTCACTGTAATTTTTTTTCTAAATACATGGATATTTGTCTTTTTCATTTGAACTATCAGCTAGCACTTAACCTTGGTGAACTGTGCCACAAAAGTGATCGCTTAGTCTCATTTCTTCAGGTCATACTCCTTCTTACCTAAACTTTAGTGGGGATATAGTAGGCATTTAGTGGAGATATAGTAGGCATTTAGTGGGGATATAGTAGGCATTCAGTGGAGATATAGTAAGCATTTAGTGGGGATATAGTAGGCATTTAGTGGGGATATAGTAGGCATTTAGTGGAGATATAGTAGGCATTTAGTGGAGATATAGTAGGCATTTAGTGGGGATATAGTAGGCATTTAGTGGAGATATAGTAGGAATTTAGTGGGGATATAGTAGGCATTTAGTGGGGATATAGTAGGCATTTAGTGGAGATATAGTAGGCATTTAGTGGGAATATAGTAGGCATTTAGTGGAGATATAGTAGGAATTTAGTGGAGATATAGTAGGCATTTAGTGGGAATATAGTAGGCATTTAGTGGGGATATAGTAGGCATTAAGTGGAGATATAGTAGGCATTTAGTGGAGATATAGTAGGCATTTAGTGGGGATATAGTAGGCATTCAGTGGAGATATAGTAGGCATTTAGTGGAGATATAGTAGGCATTTAGTGGCGATATAGTAGGCATTTAGTGGGGATGTAGTAGGCATTTAGTGGGAATGTAGTAGGCATTTAGTGGGGATATAGTAGGCATTCAGTGGAGATATAGTAGGAATTTAGTGGGGATATAGTAGGCATTTAGTGGGGATATAGTAGGCATTTAGTGGGGATATAGTAGGCATTTAGTGGGAATATAGTAGGCATTTAGTGGAGATATAGTAGGCATTTAGTGGGGATGTAGTAGGCATTTAGTGGGAATGTAGGCATTTAGTGGGGATATAGTAGGCATTCAGTGGAGATATAGTAGGCATTTAGTGGGGATATAGTAGGCATTTAGTGGGGATATAGTAGGCATTTAGTGGGAATATAGTAGGCATTTAGTGGGGATATAGTAGGCATTAAGTGGGGATATAGTAGGCATTTAGGGTTAGAATTAGGGCTCAGCATCCTATGCTGATTGTAAGAGGCAACTAACTTGTTTACATGACCAGACATGTGTCTTGGTTGATCGTGTGTCCTCTTAGTCTGAATGCTTTCAGATGTGCACAGAGAAACCAAAGAATAGAACATGACAAAAGTGCTGGTTGTGATTCGATTAGGTCTGATAGAGATCTGAGGCCAAGAGGCCATAATGAGCCAGATCCATCCAATGGTGCACACAAAATAGAAACTATATACAGTTACTACTCATTGTAGCTCTTCATAAAAGCAACAACTTTTATATACTTTCATATACTTTCAGAGGGCTATGAGTGCAAAGCGATGGCGAAGTCTGCCCAACTGTTCCAGCATGTTCATGTGCCTTACATCTTCATGGAGTGGCAGCAGATGTTCAAACATCGCATGTCTAACGCAGCCTGCCCACCATATGCCATGCAGCAGCTTACAGACATGCTCACACAGCGAGGCTACATGGCACATGAAGTTCGGACAGGCATTATGATGAGCCCAGAGGAGTGCACAACCAGGTGGCGAGTTGGAGACATCTACTGGAGACATCAGACACAACCACTGCTGTTCCCGCCACTTTGAGGGGCAGCTACACTGGAGCGTCTGCTCCTGTGCTCCTGATTCTCCACGGTCACCAGGGGGTGTTGATGGTGTTTTGCAGTTTATTGCAAGGTCCTTGAATGTAAGCTCTTCTGATTTATATTCAGAGAGTTACGATAGACCTACGATTCGTCTGTTTTGAGAACAAGATCAAACAGAAGAAAGGTTGTACTGACCTCCCCACAGGTGACTGACAATATCTGGCCTGTGGTGACAGCTTTATAACAGCTATTTTGCATATATGAGGAAAAATAATGTGCAAACTTTTAAGCTTGAACAGGTGCACAGAACAATCATAAGGAGGCCTTTTTTTGGTAATCTGGTTTGCAGAATATTTACCCCCAAATGACTAAGCACTATTAAAGTGGTAGTCAGAAACAAAGTAACATAAAATATTGAAAATATACAAATAAGTATTCTCGATGAGAGGAACTGTGTTTTGGTCTAAACAACTATTTTGTATAACAAAAGGTTACTTCTGTTTCCCTTTTGAACCACTTTGAGCATGTTGAATTATAATCAGTTCTCAACAATTCTATCTTCAAAAAAAAAACCTCTTAAAATTTTACTTTATTCCAAAATTTACTGATTCATAAATCAAGAAATTGGAAAACAACTGTCTCAAGTGAACTGCTTTATTCATAACATGTAACCAAACTTGCAATTCAAGAGCAATACTTGACTACGAAAGCACTGCTTCATTATAACATATAAATATATATATGCATGTATGTAATGTGTGAAACACCTGCTGTCCTTTCACAAACAAAATAAGGATCTCACTGAATACATGCTTACACACATTGTCTCATGTAATGAGAATTCCAATCAATGAAACATTAATTAAATGCCTTCATCAATTGTTTCAGAAGCAAAATGTATTTTTGACTATAAAACACTTCATCTGCATGTGATGTCTGACGCTCCCAATGCTGATTGTGATAGACATATGCACTGCTTGTTTTCCTAGGGTAGTTTGTTTTCAAGTGAACACTACATATATTCCTCACAATATCTATTTTTTTATATCAACCTGTATATTGGATAAGACTGTTGCTGCTTACTGGTGTTGAACGAATGTAGCTCAATAAGTCAATTACATCTTAATTAATATTGTTTTTTTACCATTTAGTAATATTGATTTCAGAAAAGTTACACTTTGTGTACTCTATATATAACTGAAATACACTTTTGATACATAAGATAGAGAGCAGATGGCAGTATCTCCTCGTTTTTAAGCTGACACTGAAAAATTCTGGTAGATTTGCTTGGTACTGTTTGTATTTTGGGTTGTTGCAGTTAAGGTATTGCTAATGCAGCATGCTCCTGTCCTCATACTCTTCCCCAAAAAAATTTTGTAAGCCAAAGCTTTCAGACTGACAATGTTGATATTGATATCCAGTTTCCTGCTCAGATTACATTATCATTTCCCAAGAGTTGCTTCTTGTGAGTGCAGTGTGATACAGTCCTATCATCAGGCCAGACAAATTTATTATCTTATTTATGGATCTGTATACTCTGAAAATTCATTAAAGTTAAAAAAGGATCATATATTTTGGGTTAGCTATATATTTAGCTTCTTGGCAGGTTGATGACCAAGAAAATCTAGAAACAAGAAATTAAATCGATCAAGTTTTATTGTTTTAGGAAGACATATAATACACTGGAATTTTAATATCACAACTTTTTACAAGATGTGGTTGCTTAGTATAATAGCAGACTTTCTGATTTATGGACGGCTAGGTTAGGGTCACACATTCTCGCTCATGAATGAAGCAGTATATTTTAAGTTCTCCTTTCTATATGTGGACACATGCTTCCAATAATCACACACCACATATCCCTGTCATAAGTAGGTATGACTGACTGTTTTAAGCAAAACTGCATATCCAAAGTTTAAAATAAATGCTTAAATTGCATGAACTTTGCTTATCTCAGAATGACAAAGGGAATATTTTGCCTGCATGAATTGTTTTTATCACAGCTGCTTGGAAAACACCAAGGAAATGTAACATGTTGTATTTGGGATTACACTTTCTTAGTAAAGTATAAGTTCTCATACTTTTGGGGATGGACTCCCTTTTGAAACACAAAATCTGTGACCTAATCCTTTACTTGAAAGAGTGTAATCTCAAATATAAAACATGTAACTTCTGACCACTTTCTGAGAGACATTGTCTGTTCAACTTTTCAACCATGGGAGCTGTACCATTTTCCTTTAGGTGGTTGCACAAAGTATGTGATCTAACCCACCAGTTATCAAACTTCTCTATTCATGGCAACCTTAGTGCTGAGTGGGTTAGGTCCCTGACTTTGTGTGCTTGTGATTCCGTGCCTCTCTCTGAAAAGGTCCCACTTGCCATGCCACTAAAGTTTGTACTGTACAGGGAAACTGAAAGCCTAGACACACCATATGAACATATGTTACATTTGACAACTTTCTAAGGCATTGTCTGTTCAAAGAAGGAAATAATCACTTTTTTTCTTCACAACATCTTGACATAAATATCAGATGTCAGCAAGTTTCATGCCTGATTGTTTTAATATCTGATTTTCAGCATTCAGATAATCTGATAAATGTTAAGATTTTCACAAAACTCCATGATGCAATATTATTTGCTGTTTAGAGTTGTGTCCCTTACATATTACAGGATAAGTTTGTCATTCAGTCTGAGGTTTGCCCCATTATCACCCTCGGTCTGTCAGTGATACTACTGAAGTGATAATGAATATCTATATGTGTTGAATCATGATCATATGTTTGTTAAACCATGAATGGTAAGGGGATATTCTGCCCTGTAATACATGTATTATCAACAAAGAGCTATATGTTATATACGCACAATGTGGTTAAATGCATATCTTTGGTGATAACATATTCCACATGATATGCTGAATAATATGTTTTAGTCAATTACTTTCTGTCTTAAAAAAAATAAGTCAAACAAAAGATTTACTTTTCCCAACATCTATCAAAAGCACTGAAGAAAACATAGTATCTGATACAGGTCTTTCATCAACAAGCATTTGTCATTGCAAATATTGTCTTTAACTGTTAGCCTGTTGTGTTTTTATGAGCCTGTGTTTTTTTAATATTGAAACACTTAACAATGTTTTTGATTGAAAATATGCATATTTTTTTGTATTTTGGTTTGTACTTTTAGTTCAAGATTATTTATATATTTTAAAAAATTTCCTCACCTTGGCATGCTGAAAATGTAAATCTATATAACTACAAATAGACAGATAAGGCATAAGCGATAACATACAAAACTTTATGAAAACAAACATGTCAACACATTTTAGTGAAAGTGAGTGAGTGAGTTTAGTTTTACGCCACACTCAGCAATATTCCAGCTATATGGCAGTTTTAGTGAAAGGAAAGAGAGGAAAAATCTACCCATGTCATACTCCAGGGTACAGCCAAGTATGTGGAATAAGTTGTCACCTCACAGTACCAGTTGTACACAAGCAGTATATTGCCTGTGTGTGTGCAATAGTTAAGTGCCTTAGTAATACATCACTCTTTTTTCGCTGTTTGTTGTTTTTGCATTCTTGTGTTTGTGTTTCCCAGATTATAAATATGTGTTGTTTAATTTGGATAGCATTCAGTTTACTCTATGAAACATTTGTTTTATTGTCTTGTTCAATATACTGACTAGTTTGTTACAATTTGTAAATTAGATCCAGTACATGTACAGTTTATCAGTAAATTCATAATTAGAAAACCAAACTATAGTCATTGTTATCATTGGATGATTGTCTGGATTGTCACTCTCTGAAGCAACAGGTAGCCATTTACATGTGATTCTTGAAATACACATTAATGATGATGCTAATTACATAAGCTATGTTTGTGCATCTTGACAACTTCAATAACCTAAGTTACATAAAGTGTACAAATGAGTGAAATAAAAAGCTATTGTCCTTCCACTGAAATAAGTCCGTCAGACCACTGAGGTATGGTGAAATGGGGTTTAACATAGCATAACAGATCACTGCATCAAGCCGCATGCTGTGTTTGTGTCTGTGTGTGTGGCTGCTTGAACTAGTCCAGAATAAATGCCAGCCAACTGAGAAGCCAGACAAGAGTGACTGAGCCAACCAGTCCTTGTTTTAACCCTATGGCATCAGCAACAGTACCAGACAGTCAAACAAGATGTTTGGTGAGATTCGGGCCAATTACATAAGAGTGCTTGGGATACTGAAAGTAGTGTGGAACATGCAACATAAATAGTACCTGGTGTTCATATTTGACAAAATTCTCTTCAATGGTGTTAAAAGTGCATCTTGATAGTTTTCTGAAAAGCATCTTGGAAGAGGGTTACCAGATGATTTAAAAACAATTCTCCTAAATCCGTAAAAAGAAATTTACTACAATTACAAGGGGCAGTTAATGTAATGCTTTATCATGGGACCAGTCATTTAGTATAGGAAGGTTGGTCAAGGAAATAAGGGGAGGGTCAAATAAAAATTATCAATTATAAAAAAGAAATAAGGGGAGGGTCACCCATAAGTATGATAATCTAAGGGGGAGGGTACATAGATACACATATTCAGGGAGGGTAGTGAAAACATAGTGTTTTTGCAGTCCTTTTGTATTCCGACATTTCTGAGTGGTTCATGAAAAAAGGGAATGGGATGGTTAAAATCTTCGGGATATTTCCGGCTTAGTTTACAAGACAATACACATGTAAACCATAATGTATATTGTAGTGATCACACCCGTACATCGGGTGACATTGGACTGGCAATCCGATACTGCTTGTATGTTTCTGGGTGTGATCAAAGCATGATCAACTTCCCCACCAAATCTGACAGGTGACAGATGACAAGCCGAGACTGACAAGTCAGAACAGGAGATACAATTAAAATGGTAGATCATTGTTTTGGGGATGTAAAACAATTGGAAGTGACAAGTGCCCACTCCTCAGCAAACAGTGGCAAGCCTGGAAAACACTACACAAGTACTCACCTTTTTTTGGTCCCAGTTCCATAGCCATGACCTTGGTGAGCATGTCAACAGCACCTTTAGATGAGCAGTACACTGTGTGCTCGTTCAGCGCCACCTGGGACGCCACACTTGACACATTCACGATTGCACCTCCGTGGCCACTATCTACCATTCCTTTGGCAAACACCTGAAAACATCAAAAACAAATGATACAAGTACACTGTGAAATATACTCATACAACCACAGATTGAATGTCAATCTATCCGTTCTGTGTGGGTGTGTGTACAAATTAGGCTTTCGAATATTCCTAACACCTAGCAGCAAAAGGCACAACTTCAGCCTTTGGTTAAAACATGTACCAGGTTTGAATGAAAATTGTCTCATGGTTTTTGAGTTGTGCTACACAAACAAAATCCAACCCCCTCAAACCCCCCTTTGGGAATCATTTCCATGGAAATCAAGAAAAGTAAAAATGCCAAAAGGTCCACAAAAGCAAAAGATACCATTTTGGGCTATATCTGCCAAATTTTGTTGAAAGATATTGAAGGGTTTTTGAGTTGAGCTCCGGAAATAACACCTACCTCCATTTCAGCCAAGTCTAACTTATTTCCATGGAAACAGGGAAAAATAGAATTTTGAATAATTCCTAAATAGCAAAATACTTCAAAGTTTTTTTTAGTTATGCTCCTGAAACAAAATGATTATGGGCGGACAGACAGACGGATGAGGTGTTGAATGTATCCTCCGCATTATATGTCAGGGGAATAACAATATTGCAGTCGATTTTAGAACAGATATTATCCATCATCAAACTATTGAGCAGTCTGAACAGCACATACCTGTGATACATTGATGACCGACTTGATGTTGACGTCATACACACTGGAATAGAAGACCAGCATTCAAATACAGACATAGCAAACACAAGTTACACATCCAGCAGTGGCACAGTGCTGAACTAATGTCAGAAAGTAGGAGTGTAGGAGTGAATAAGGTTTTACTTCACTTTTAGCAATATTCCAGCAATAGAAACACCAGAAATGGGTTTCACACAGTGAACCCAAGTGGGGAATTGAACCCAGGTCTTAAATGTGACAAGCGAAAACATTAATCATTAGGATACCCTACCACCCCTAGAGAAGTAGGAAGTACAGTGAGGTTAATTAACATGATCATTAGGTTGCTACAGATGAATAAAATGTAAACATGTTAGCTGTTTGTCTTTTCAACAACCTTTGTAATCGGATGAGTTAAAATTTCATCATATCAGCAATTTTTCAGCCACATAGCAGGTCTGTAACGGAGACCTTCAGCTTAGTCAACAAGAATGAAAAAAATCATGAAAATTGATACCAGAATACACAGGTTAAGTAAAACGCAAATATTATGGATGACAACTTCTTCTTTATTGTATATCACAATGTTTCTGGGCTATTCCTTGCCCCTTCGTCAGGTGAATTGTCTGAACAATGATGCTGATGTTATATTCAAAATAAACATGAGTAGTTATCTATTTATACATATTGACCAAAAAATCCAAGATGGAAAATAAATTGCATAAGAAGTTTCATTAACATTTTGCAGGGTTAAACCTCGTACTTCACAACCTGATGACACAACAGGCAATTACTTACATGTGTATATGCAAAAACATCATTCATCTCTCGGGCAGTAGGGAAAAAACATACACTTGGTGGTAATTAAAAAAGTACTTTAAGCTCCAACAAGAATCTTTTGGCCATACATAATATGAGTTAATAACCAGTAAGTTAATGATAAGGAAACAAGTCTTTGGGATGTAGACTTACAAGTCACAATCATCCTTGGTGACCTCAAAGAAGGGTGCAGTTCTAGATACTCCTGCATTGTTGACAAGGAGATCCACACATCCAACAGCCTCCAGGATCTTCCTAGACCCATCCCAGTCTCTCAGGTCAGCCTGGACTGTTTGTATACTTGGAACCTGGGGATATTTTAACATCTGAACATGTGTGTGAAATAGCATAACCTGCAAATATCATGCCATTCCTCATCTTTGTAAAAACAGAAAATTATCAGTACTTCAAACATCAAATGTCATTAGATATGTAAGGATCTTCAGCTATCAGAAAATATACATATCTATATTTTTATGTAAGAAATGCAAAGTTTCTCTCTTGATATTCTTGTTTCACAGGTTGCTCAAATGAAACATTTTACTAGTGAAGGAAAACCAAGTTCTGTGGATAGTCAACTTCTTTATTGCAATGAGTGCGACATTTCGGTGTAGGTACTAACACCATTATCAAGCAACACACTTGCTTGATAAAAGTGTTAGTACCTACATCAAAACGTTGCACTCATTGCAATAAAGAAGTTGACTAATCATAGAACTTGGTTTTCCTTCATCTATGTAACTTCTAAAATGCTTCTCAAAGAAGTTATTTTACGAGTGCTTCATTAAGATATTGTTTTAAAAAGATTTGCAGTTGTAAAAAACAGAAAGTGACAGTTACAGAACATGTACAATAGCTTCATTTGGGGGTTTGGAATGGGTTCAACGCCGCTTGTAACAGTATTACAGTTGCTAAATGTGTTAGCTTAATGTTTAAGGAAAGCCTGGAGTGATGTCAGCTTTAAATGTTTAGTACTTTTGTAAAATCCATAAGCGTGGGCATGGTGCAGACAAACATAGAAACATCACAGGGGCCAACTGGAATTCATACCCACCATCTTAATTACTGTGCATAACCATCAATGACTCAACAAGGAAAGCATGTCATAGATAAATCCCAGCAACTGTATATTTTGTAGGAGAAATATAACTGTTTTCCAATTAATTCAAACTTGCAATAATATCTAACAAATAAGAACTTTTTTTTTGTTTTTTCTAAAATGTATTGAGTTATGCATTAGTACCTAGGTTCATACATTTGGCAACTTAAACCTTTTCCCAACACAGCAACACTAAGTGTTCGAAAAAATCGTCAGGAATTCCAGGTTTAAAGGTTAGTAATAATTTTCATAACAATTGGTATTAGAATATAAGTGAGCATGCCTCTTTCTTGAGACTGTCTAGATCCTCTTGAGTACGGGAAACAGCCACAGTTTCGGCTCCACATCTCACCAGAGCTTTGGCAATATCTCGTCCAATTCCTGTAAGGTATATCATAACAGTAAATAATACTGTAGCATTCCTAAAACCTTCTCTAGAATAGCAACAGCATCCCAACAAATATGAATTGACTAAATGCAAAAACAAAGAAACAACTGATTTTGAAATAATGCTCTATTTGGCAACAAAATTATTTCTTGACTCGAGTATGTACTTTGTACAGGATAATGACAGTAATTACATTCCTAAAAATAAGCTACAAGGAACGGAAGGCTTTGACAAACTGTATCTGCCCTCTTGCTTTCTAGTAAAATCAAATTCAATTTATTGTTTTTAAATCAGTTGTTCTTTCACGCAGCTTTTGATTGCGTTTTGATGCATTAATAACCGCTCATATGTTGAAAATAAAATCCATTAAAATAATCTGTTTCTAGATAATGTCAGTGAGATTAGATATTGGCAGAGGCAGCTTAACCTATATATGTCTAACCCTTTACTATTGGCCTACTGACCCATTTGATATAGCTGTCCAGTGATAGTATCAATGTCATTACAAAAGAAACACTGTCAGTCCAAAACATATGCATTTTCCGGAGTTGCAATAAAACATGCATTAAATAATAAGCATTACCTTTGCCAGCTCCTGTTACAAGAGCACGTTTACCCTTAAAACTGATCTCCATAGCTGATTTCGGCAACTTTTATCTAAACTCTTGTTAGATATGAGGTAGAAAAGTAATGGAATAATATTTGGGGTACGAAAATTGTATTCTATTTGTTTAAAAAAACCTACGTGAAAAGATGAAAAACATTTATGAATTAGTTTTGTCCTACCGTTATCAAAAGTATCAAATCCTTCCCGAATATATATTTAACAACAGGTTATTCACATACTGTATGGGAACAAAAATGACAGTAATTTCTTGAAAATGGACTGATATTATCAGCTTTGTGGAAAGTACTATATAACAGGAAGCGCCACCTACCTGAAAACAAGTTCTTGGTCATGACGACGCCACCAACAAATGCTCGACTGTAAAATTTAAGTTACTATGACGTCCTGCTAGTGTCTTTTAAAGAAAACTTTTCTTGAGGAAATATGTAAGTAGAAAATTAACATATTTGACTTTAAGGACTTGCATAGTTCCTCAAATTAATTTTGTACCACACAGGAATGTGGATACAGGCATTGATAGAAATTTGAGGGTTCGCAATATTTTTAGTTTACTCTAATTGATTTTCCGGTGGGTTATACTTGCAGTCGAGTTAAATGCCTTGGAAAACATGAACGACCCGTCAATACCCAAGGCCAACAGACGCTCCACCAGCGTTCAGCGTTCAGCTGTTGATAACTGAAGCGCCCTATAATCATGGTAATGCTGTGCCGTCACCTGTTTTCGTGGGAACCCAATTTTCGTGATATTTTGAGACCTAGTTCTGGAAAAACTAGAATGCTGTTAGGATGGTAACGAATGTGAATCTGCCATTTTCAATGATCTTATATAAATAACATGACAACTTAGTTTGAAATCCAAGATAAGTCCCTGGATGATTGAACAGGTGATTGAACATACATATGGATATGCCCAGCTTATGCCTTGAGTAGTAGGAAGGCGTTTCCTATTCTCGCGGTACTTACGGATATCGGCTGACAAAAATAACACAAACAATTCTTATGGTATGAATGCTTGTTGTTATTAAATGAAGGGCCTCCTCTAACATCTGCATCTATCAGCTGCCAGATCCATCAGGTGAATTACCACTCGTGAGCCCGGTGATAAACAATGCCATCTGCCAATGACGAAACGAGGCTTCTCCCATTCTCGCGGTATTACCAGGAATAAACATTATTGAGTGTATGTAAGAGCAATCCTGCCGGAAAGGGCGAGAAAAAGTAATGATATGTCCAAGTTGGTATAAACTCCCCAATATTCGTGACACTGCAAGATTTTGATCATTCACCGAGTTGGTCCACTTCCTAGTTACCAGTCGATGATGTAAACAACCGCTAAGTGTCACGCATCGGCGATTTCGGCAGAAAACGTATTTACCGCGAGAATAGGAGACGGACCTATATAAATAATATATCTTGGCAAGATCGCCCCTAAATTATAATGATGAAGAAATATTTCTTTCAGTGACATTTTTAGAATTCAGATATGTCTTTCAGTATGTTCAGATACAATTAAAGAGACATGTTAAAAGAAAAAAACTCAACCTTATCAGATGAGGAATATATAATCAGGTGATATGATTTTACTAGAATGAAATTTAAGGGGGATACGGGCGGAAGTCTTTCTGTGATAACTATTCTCTGCAAGCACTGGCTATAGGAGTTAGCAATGTTTTTGTGTTAATGATGATCAGTTGAAGTCTGATCCAGCTGTTCATTACATGTGTTACCCCCAGTAACAATTCAGTTTAAATATGGATGGTGTAATCTGTCTAATCATGCAGTTTTGAGGTTGATGAGGAAGTATTCAGTAGATGTATCATTGTATGTCATGAATGTTCCATGTATTAGAGTAGTACAGGAAGTACAAGTTACAGCACAATGAGAAGCAATAGTCATATCAGCAGTTCACATACTTTACCATCTTTACCAGGACCAGCATAGATTAAAATGGAAACTGAATACAACTGGGTTTTGATAATGATATAGTGTGGTTCCAGTCTATCTTTACAATAATAAATTCCATAATCAGTGTTGAATTTTGAAAGTTTTAGGGGTCCCTTGATTCATACACCCAACTGGAAGACCTCAAGGAATCAACTACATGTATATTTTAAAAAACGGAAACGGTTTGAATGAGTAAGTGTGGTTACATACCGTTTCTGTTCCAAATAGTATAGGGTACTTATCATGTTGAAAGTTTTCATTATGTCTGTTTTTGTTTTTGTGTTTCAGATGGAAAGATGGCTGTTCTAAATTACCTGTACCCAAGTCCACTACGAGATGCGCTGATGTTTTTATTTGACTTGGCATGGCACCAACTTCACACTCTTGCATTTGTCACATTCACAAGTTCCTTGTTGATACCCGAAAACTAAGTTAAATGTCGTAATTGTTTACACACTGAACTAATGTCTGAAGTAGTGCCTTTCAGTGTTAGTAGCTATACTGATCTTGCTACAAATCTGTCCTCAGCATTGATGTTTCTCTTTGAGTTTGCTTGGAGGATTCGTTTCCGCTTACCAAGCTTGATCACAGTCACATTCCTTGCACTTGACATCAGGGTTAGAGTTGAAATTGAACTACAGAACATGCCATAACATGTAGGGTATAGCCATAGCCTAATATCCAAGATGAGTCGTGGTGTCAGAGACTTAAGAGACCTTATTTGTGTGTCACGTTTGACGGTCCGTGAGAGCGATGAGGAGATTGTTAGTGATGAAGAACTAAACAACTTTGATTCTTTATCAATCAGCAGTGATAGTGGATCTGATAACAGACATGGCCTGAGTAATTCTCAAGGACTCGTTGAGGGTGGCATTTCTCCTGATTCAGGCTTTGTTACAAATGGTTCACCATCTGAAGTTGCAACTAATGCAGAAACTAAAATTTCAAAATCACAGAAAAGGGCAGCAAAAAGGAGGCATAAAAAGAAGATATTAGAGACTTTTCCCTCTCGCCATGACCTTCCCAAACTACCACCCCTTCCTCCAGTGCAAGGTGGATCGGTAGACTTCACAGAGGAATCAGTGCAGCCTGACTCAGAATCAAGCAGAATTGTGAATTCAGTTGCCAAACAGAAATCAAGAACACACAAGAAAAGTGGTAACTTTGATGATATGTTATGCTACATGGATGCAACACTGGTGTCGGGTTGGCTTACTCAGGCCAATGATGCAGTTGGAGCTCTTTACAAGTTTTGTCACACAGGAGATACTTATGTTCAGTTTGCGCACTTTTGGCTTAGCAGCTTTTCAGATGTGCAAAAGAATGAAATATTTGAAATGGAATATGAAATTCTCATTGAACAGATGAGTTTAGCGTTTTCCGTTGGGAGGGAACAGAGAAAAGTTCTGCGGTCAGATATCACAAGTCTCGCCTCAGCACTTTTAGTTGAATACCCTTCGAAGTTAATGAGTTCCAAGGGCAATCATTTATTCCTGGACTACCTTGATATTCTTTCATCTGAGAAGAAAGAGCAGTACAAGCACCTGTTAGCCAATGTTCGTTGTTCCACAAAAAACAGACAGTATGCCCAGTGGCTGCTGGCTACAAGGTCTTTTGCTCTTGTCAGTATTTGGAGTGCAATAACAAACTTTTACCAGAACTTAACGGGGACTGGAAACCATTCCGGTCTGCCTCTGCCATCTAGCATGTCTTCTCTTGATGCAAGTTACCAAAGGATGTATCAGGCAATTAGGTATGTAATTCAGTGTATTGTTAGTGTTTATTTTGAACAAACACAAAATGTATGGGCATAGATTATTGGGTGTGTGTGTGTGTGTGCGTGCGTGTGTGTGTGTGAACTTCTTTACCATTGCAGCTTTTGGAAACAAGTGTGCTATTAACATGTGATTACCAGTAATATTATTGGCTAAAGTGAAATTGCATGAAGATTTGGGGTGTTTCAAACTTTTAATGTAACACTCACTAACTGATGCATATCTTGTTATGTAATGTTAAGCATTATATCAACCTATTTTTTGGCCTGGCCCAAAGTTGAATATCAACAGACAGCAATTTAAAACACTCATTCAACATTTTCACTAATATAATCATGATCTAAGCATTACTAACATATTCTTGGATTGAGCTGTTACCATGGTTACTGTTAGAATTCTAGTGCATGGTCAGTGTGGTTGTTTCATCATGTGTATAGGGTAGTGTTTAACCTGACTATACATGTTATAATATGTATTTGTACATTCATTTAGCATACAACCAGCAATGTTATGTTTCAGATTAGGGTATGTGGATGTACTGCACTACTTGCTTGTAGGAGGCCATGTCAAGCCACATCATGTAGATTCCCACCAGAGAAGTCTCATCTTCACCGCTGTCATGCACAACCAGGAAAAAGTTCTGCACTACCTTCTGACAAGGGTGGGTGAACTAAGACATGTGATTCCTAAAGATATGTAACATTGGAACAATAGTGAAAACATGATCTGGTGTGTTGATAGAATTGCATAGTGGCTTTATTCTTTATTACCATTATGACCAATGTGACCAGCCAAGTTTCATCATCTGTGTCACTGGTTTGATCCAGTTGGCCTAAGGATGTAAATGTCTGCAGGGTTCGAAATACCCCATATATTAGTGTGCCATGGCACGGTAAGTACAGAAATGGCACGGCTAAAAAATGTTCTCGGTGCCCTTTTGACACGCCTAATTTTTTAAGAGACATAACTCACATTTAGTCATTTAATCCCCAAAACAATTATTTTTTTCCAAATTGAATAATACCATACATATCTGAATGTTCATAAACCCCATTTCTTTATTTAACAATAAATTTCAAATGATCATCATCATTGTCATTTATTCTAAAAACTTGTGGGCATAGTCGATTTCAGAAAGGCACACCTAAAATATTTAGAAGAAAAAAAAGTTCTATCCCTGGTCTGTGTCCTGTGTCACATTAACCTTTCCTCTCATACAACAATGGCCTCTCTGGTCCAGTTGATGGAGCTTCTGCCCGGCAAGTAGAAGGGTGGTGGTTCATTCCATGACTACATCATATGAAAAGACATAAGATGATTGTACTTGTTTTTACCATGCCTGGTGCTCAGCATGAAGGGAATAAGACAGGGACTGGTTGTCTTGATTACAACCCTTTTTCACCTCACCTCACCTCACCTCAACTTTGTTCCATGGAGAAATTGTTTCAGACATGGTAATATTCTCATTATATGATTGTGTCATTAAATTGATTAGGTGCAGTTAGCTGATTTTAACTTGTTTGAGTGGCATTTAGAAGTTGGTGTGATGAACATCTAGGAGAGTTCTATGGATATACAACCTCTTTAATATAATTTTTCCTTATCCTGACTCATGCTCTTTTTGCTTGTCTTCTTCTTCTTGCGAACATAGTGGAACACTTGTATCTCCCTAATTGAAGCTCCCTTCAATGTAAAATCACTAATTAGTACTCAGCACGAGTTACCTCCCTTCCACAAGCGCGGGAACGAGGGCGCCACCTCCACCCATGTGCCTCACTCTCTCCTTCTTCGCCCAGTGAGCTGGACGTGAGAGCACCTGTGTCTCCCGACACACTATATCCTTTGATTATATTTAGTTAGTTACCTCGTATAGACATCTATAGAGGTTTAGCTAGTATCCTTCAACAATTATATATTGATATTTAGTCGGTGTTTCTACTGTTTATTCACGGGACCGTGTTTGTTTCAGTGGATTACGTTGATAAAAATTCTGTTCTGTTGCAGATTACGCTTTTTATTCTGCTGCTGATCTGCATTTAATATGCCCTAGTTGTACTGCGCCATGTTCATTTTATTCACGCGTTGCAGTTCGCGGTACTAATTTATCCATTTCTGCCTTTAATAAATAATTACTTTATTTGAGACGCCGCAGCAGATAGGTCGCGTATGCAGAGTCTAGCCATGACTGATACACCTGAACCCCTCGCCAGTCTACTGCTGTTGGTCGAATTTCGCTCCGTCTGGTGTTCCGCTAGAGTGCTGGAGAGGCGTGGGACGTAGTCCGCCGCCTCCAAGAAGCGTCCTGCTTCCCCAGACATCCCATCGTCGCAGCCGAAGACTAGAGTTTTTCTACTGCATCTCAACGCGACCTCTGAGGGGAAATCAACGAAGTCTACTTGAACTTTCTCAGCCGAGATTGTTCCCGTCGCAGATTTGGGCCTGTATGATGATCAGCCGATCATCATACCTGATGTACATCAAAAGAATGACCGATGTCGGCAACAGTGATGTCAGCGCAGATCAACATGCAGCCTGATGTACCAACGATGATATTCTATGATCTTCCTGAGGGTCCCGTCGCTACCAACACTCAACGCAGACTTCACACCCCCAGGGCAGCGTCGACCTCTGAGGGGAAATCAACGAAGTCTACTAGGACTTTCTCAACCGAGATTGTTCCAGCCGCTGAACTGGGCCTCTACGATGATCAGCTGATCATCATCCCCGACGTACGCCACAAGAAGCGACCGGAGACATCTACAGTGACATCAGCAGAGATGCGCCATGCAGCCTGATGTCTCTACACTGACGCCAGACGACTTCCCTGAGGGTCCCGCCGCTAACATCGCAGAGAGGGCACCGACTAATTAAGTCGCAGACCATCCCAGATGAACTGTTGCGGCAAATCATGATCATGATGGAGGGCCACCACAGACTGGGAAGCAGCCAGCCCAAGGCCCGAGCCTTCACGAAGGTTCCAACGCAGACGACACCCCAGAGGCACCCCCATCAGCGTAGCAGCCACGACGAAGCCACCTTCGCGAAGGAAGTCGCAGACCACCTCCACGAAGGACCCAGATGTACAGCCTTCGCGAAGGCCTTCGCGAAGGCGGGATAGATCATCACCTTCCTCGGCTTCATCCCTAGAAGCGGACTCAGACCGTCAGACCTCACGAAAGCCTTTGCGAAGGTCAAATCGCCGTTCCCCAGGACCGGACGCAGAGGAAGCTTCGCGAAGGCCACCTGACTACACGAGAGCTTCGCGAAGCTATCAACATTCTCCTCACAGGTCTCCGAGAAGGTCAACCCATAGACGCAGTTCACCAACACGATCTCCGCGCCGTTAACCGCGCCGATCTCCTCGTACATCACCACACAAGTCTGCACACAAGTCTACAGTCAGGTCTCCCCGAGCGTCACCCGACATAGAGATAGAAATACACAGTCCACCATCAGAAGAGCATCAACCTCTCATCAGTGATGCTGGGATAGAAAATGATGGAGGCATCATTTTCTCAGACGCTGAGATACGATATTGGATGGTAAACAACCTAGATCTCTCTTCACCTTCCAAGAGTGGCAACTCGGCGCAGACATACCTGATAAAGGAAGACGAGGCAGACGCCATCACCTTACCTCCAATCGACTCGATTGCTGCGGTGCCACAGTATGTAGACACAGCCTACCATAAAGCCATAACAGTTCAAACGCCAGAGGCGTATGTTATTGGCATTAATAGATCTAGAACGATCAATGAGATTCTTATCACCAGATTTCGTGACACGACTTCTGAAGATGATAGGATGATCTACTCGGCTCTACTTATGCAGAACCAGCAAGAACCACACCCTGTATGAAGCTAACGCTCATATATTGATCGGTTTCTAGACACTTCGCTAAGGAAGTCCCAGGCCACCTCAGCGAAGGAGCTACAGCCTCACCAGTTACAAGGGGCGCCACGGAGGAGTAGCGCTTCACCGACCCCACATATTGCTGAGTCGGGCGTAAAACAATACACTCACTCACTCACTCCTGTTGAACACAGAGGTCGATTCAAGCGAAGCAAGCTCATATATAATATATATACTGATCGGGCTCTGACTCAATACCTTCGCGAAGGTCGCGAAGGCTAAGTGGCTCCAAGTCTACCTCACACAGGAAATCTAGATTGGATGCTTCGAGCCTTAGCGAAATCTCCGGCGTCCACCGAGGAATTCTCCTCCAAGGTCTCCATATATTAGCCACTTTCGTCATATATAGCTACTTTCGTCAGTCCGTTCTAGACATCGCATAAGTTGTCTATCAACTGTATGCCATATGCCGCCTATAAGCCTACGCGAAGACAATTGCACAGGCTATTTACAACACAGAACGTCGCTATATTAATTAATCAACGACGTTGCATAGATCTTCACAGAAATCAACCTTTCCGTATAGATTGCTAGAATATGCAATCCCGGACTACTGATACACGATTATCTACATGCGTGACCATTACGCAGATCTGCAGACAATTCAATATCGAAATTGAACAGCAGCCTTGTTACAGCGGTATAACTCATAATCGTCAAAGTTTCTGAGAAGAAATATGTACAACAAGTTCAGCTTTAATTCTACAATTATGACGATACATTCATGTATACAGTCTACAAGCTGACAACTTGCAAGTTTATTGTACCTTTATATAAGAAAGTCGAATTATATTCAAAACTGAACTTACTTTCACGACAGCCAGGAAAATAACCTACCCAGCATTAATATTACAGAGCGAGGTATTTCGCGCCGGAGGTTTCAGCGTTTACCTTTAACCCTCGAAACACGTGGTCACTTTCGGGTAACCGGGAAGCTACGGTGAAGACCGACGATTATGCTAATATCAACGACGGCAAGATTTTATACAAGGTTTTTCCTGCTACACGGTGACATCACAGCGGGTATTCTACAGAATCAAAATGCCTTGTTCTGATTTGACCGCGTTGGACAACGACCTCTACGCAGAGGGTCGATCTTAGTTCACAGGTCAACACTTACGTTACAAGTGACAACTATATATCAGTGAACGAGCAAGCCTCCTTACAGTCCAGTTAATCTGAACCTTCATGATTGGGCTGCTTTCTTCAGGTTATAGACCTCCCCTGTCAAGTTAGGACGAGGGCACGGCAGTCAGGCAATTTTACATAAACTTCAACGAGGACAGACACACCTGGTTGTGCACCTACATCGTCAAGGACTTCAGAGCGAATAACCTAGGCGACGGGATACAAGTGGATCTAAATCCACAGCGTCTCAGACTACAGCTGAATTTCATAATCAAGCTACTAACACAACTAGATGGTTAGTAAACCTACTTAAACTTTCTGATTGGAGAATTAAAACGGAAGTTTCACCCTCCAACTTGGGGATCTGAATATAGTGCTCCAACACCTCACAAGTGAGGTTTATGAACACGCCTGGATGACATACTTGGACTTCATGATACGATGATTCTATCACGATGGCCAGCAAGAGCACTGTAAATTTATCTCCACCGAACCAAACAGAAGGGAATAATACAACAGATTATTTCCTCTATCATCAACTTACGCAGAATGAAATCTCACATTACTATATCTCCGCTTGGATCAGAACTGTCATACTACGTGCATACAAGACGGATGGACCCAATCCGACCCTCCATGAGCTTTTAATACTCATGATATTAGAGCTAACTTCTGCATTGATCTACACAATGTTATTTGTAATAATGGAGGGTTTATTTTCTGGAGATCCGATATGGTGATTGCCAACCATTATCTGAGAGATATCATCACCGAGGGCGTCTCAGGTATCCACCAATTCGATCCCATGGTCCTCGCACAACAGTTGACAGTTCTCGAGAAGATAAGTCAATCTTACAGATTTCTACTTATCTTATAACAGTACTAAATAGCTACATGCTATATGTAATTTGCTTAAGTTCTTTTATCATCACAGTACTATGATTATTACATCATACAATATATAACTTAACAACTCTACAGAGTTGGTTATTATATATTTACCTTAACTTAATTATATCTTAAGCATAGTACTATACTCAGATTGTAAAATATATAAGCTAACAAACTCTACAGAGTTTGGGCTATTATATAGGTAGCTTAAGCTTATTCATATCTTAAGCTCAGTACTATGTTTATATCATATAAGTATATTAGCTAACAAACTCTAAAGAGTTTTTGCTATTTGGCTTAAGTCTCATCATATCTTAAGCAATATGGTTACATTATAACATGTATTAGCTAACAAACTCTACGGAGTTTTTGCTATATGTAACTTAAGCTTATTCATATCTTAAGCAGTACTATGTTTATATCATATAGGTATTTTAGCTATCAAAACTCTAAAAGAGTTTTTGCTATTATATATTTGGCTTAAGTTTCATCATAATTTAAGCTTTATGGTTACATTATAATTTGTATTAGCTAACAAACTCTCACGGAGTTTTTGCTATTATATATGTAGCTTAAGTTTCCTTCAAATCTTAAGCTCAATACTATGTTTATATCATATAAGTATATTAGCTAACAAACTCTACAGAGTTTTTGCTATTATATATGTAGCTTAAAGTTTCCTTCAAAGCTCAATACTATGTTTATATCATATAAGTATATTAGCTAACAAACTCTACGGAGTTTTTGCTATTATATATGTAGCTTAAGGTTTCCTTCATAAACTCAATACTAGGTTTATATCAAATAAGTATTTTAGCTAACAAACTCTAAAGGGTTTTTTGCTATTATTCAATTAGCTTAAGTTTCATCATATCTTAAGCAGTATGGTTACATTATAAAATGTATTAGCTAAAAGCTCAGTACTATGGTTATAACATAAAAGTATATTAGTTAATAAACTCTAAGGAGTTTTTTTTTGCTATATACATTTAGCTTAAGTCTAATCTTATCTTAAGCTTAGTACTATGGTTACATTATTAATCTATAAGCTAATAAACTCTACAGAGTTTTGGCTATTATATATGTAGCTTAAGTTAATTATATCTTAAGCACAGTACTATACTCATATTGTAAAAATATATTAGCTAACAAACTCTACAGAGTTTTGCTATTATATATGTAGCTAAAGCTTATTCATATCTAAAGCTCAGCATTATATCTATATCATATAAGTATATTAACTAACAAACTCTAAAGAGTTTTGCTATTATATAATTAGCTTAAGTTTAATCATATCTTAAGCTTAGTACTATGTTTATATCTTAAAGTATTTTAGCTAACAAACTCTAAGGAGTTTATACTAGCATATTAACAAGCTTAAATCTATTAGTCTTAAGCATTGTATTAATGTTATATATACTTTATCATAATAAGTACTTTGTAATAACCTTTATATGGCAGCTGATAAGTTAGCAGCAGGAATTCATCAGTTCAGTACCTTTATGAAGTTCCCATAGGGTTATTACAATCATCACAGTTCAAATCACTAATTATTAAAATCCAAAGTATTATATATTTCCCACCTCCCTTTCCGTCGGAGTCTACAAGCAAAAAGAGCATGAGTCAGGATAAGGAAAAATATGTAATTTTTAGAGTAAAATTGATATTTTATACTTATCCTGACTCATGAGGTAAGCCCTCCCATCCTCCCCACATAACACTTTGGATTTCCCTGTAAATTCAAATGTTGGGCTCAGTATATGAGGAGAGAGTGAGGCACATGGGTGGAGGTGGCGCCCTCGTTCCCGCGCTTGTGGAAGGGAGGTAACTCGTGCTGAGTACTAATTAGTGATTTTACATTGAAGGGAGCTTCAATTAGGGAGATACAAGTGTTCCACTATGTTCGCAAGAAGAAGAAGACAAGCAAAAAGAGCATGAGTCAGGATAAGTATAAAATATCAATTTTACTCTAAAAATTACATTTTTGAGCGACGTTTGGGTGTAGCTACTAACACCGTTATCAAGCAAATGATGTACAATACTACAGGCAAGGTATATATATACATAGTAAAGTTGAACAGTAAGTGATTGATGTTTGCACAATTAATGAGGTTGATGTACAAGGTTGGAGGATGTTTACACAAGAAGGCAATTGTTACACAAACAGAGTAAGCTATGTGGGAATATTGGGAGGAAGCCAGTGATATGACAGACGGGAGAATAATGGGATTAAGATTGCTTGGTGATGAGTTGGTTGTAGGCAGTGGGGATGTAATATCCTTGGTCTCTGTTCAACTTTCTTATGTATATATATATATACCTTGCCTGTAGTATTGTAAATCATTTGCTTGATAACGGTGTTAGTAGCTACACCCAAACGTCGCTCATAATATATTAAAGAAGGTGTATATCCATAGAACTCTCCTCGTTGCTGATTTTATACAATCTGCTATTTCCACACTATATTATGCACGGGGGCCTCCATGCCTTATTATGAAAGATGCTGTAAGCATGATTATGATCATTGGCTATGTCTGTCACTGCTTGTGACTATAAACTGTGTGCTATATCAAAAAATTATCATGATATATGTTTAAGGTTCATCCAGCAATAAACCCGAACCAGCCAGCTGACACTGGGAACACCCCTCTCCACGCTGCAGCCAACAGTGGCAATCTCAGTCTGGTTGTGGAGTTGCTCAAGTGTCCATACGTTGAAGTCAGCGCTACCAACCCACAGTGTGAACATGCTACTCCACTCCACCTTGCTGTCATGCATGGTAATGATGGTTTCACATATCAGTCTCACATAGTTACACTTGATTTAGTGCTTATTAACAGATGGACCTGAACAAAATGTAATGTTGCAGTACAAGTGATGGGTGTTTGCTTATTTGCAGCTTTGTCATTAATTTTATGTACCATTTAAGACTATTTAACTATGAAAACTGTATACACTGAAAGAATTCTTACATGCATTCCATCCCACATTTTTAAGGTTTCAAGTGGTCAAAGGGTTTAGTTTAGGCTTTATGTTAAACAACAGAACAGTACACACTTAGTTACATATCTAGAGCCATTAATTAGGGCATTAACTGTTGATAATACTGCCATTTACATGAAACTATTGCCTCTAAGAGTGCTAGAGGTTGATTTCTTGAAAGATATGGACACAAAGGTTATTCATAGGGTACAATGTTTTCATTTGACATGTTTGAACATGGGTGATAATAATGCAGTGTTAGGACTATCTTGTCGTTGCCAAAGACATAAATGTACACTTCGTCTTTACCTGGTGTGTAAATGTAGCAAATCTTAAAATAAATTCAAAACTAGAAGAATGCTGAAATGTTAGGAAACATTCTAGATGTTGTGAGGTCTGCACCATGTAAATGTTTGATGTTGGTAACTGACAATAGTGATCGTGTTAACACCAATCTCTCCACAGGTCATGAAAAGGTGGTTCAGGTGCTTGTAGAGGCCAAGGCTGACCTCGATGCCAAGATGGGTGACCTCACTCCATCAGACATTGCCCAAGACTTTGGGACGCCAGACATGCAAAAACTGCTGACAAGCTAGTAATGACATTGGAGTAGCTGAAGGGAAACAACTCTGCCAGTATATTGTTCCCCTGGTAAATACTAGGGAAGTGACAGCTGTTTGAAGTTAAATGAGTTGTTTGTACTGCTATTTTTGGGGATATTAATGATATATTTTTTTTTGCTGTATACTAACACTTATAAACCAGTTGACTAAAAAGTCAGGTTTACATATCTTTATGTGAACAGAAGTGATTGATTAATTGTATCTCATGTTTTAAGATGTAAGAGATGTATGCATTTGGTGCATAGTAAATTATGTATCTTAATCTTTTAACCAAAAGTTGACTTCTCTCATAAAAAAATTATATGTGAACTATCATTCCCAAGGGAGATAACTGTCATGTGACTGATTGTACATTTACTGAAGTCTCTTGGATGGTATGAATTTTCCTGTTGTCATGACCTTTTAGTGTTAGGTAAAACGTCCTAACTAAATCTGTGATGTGCACATTTATCAAACATACAGGTCTTTCACAGCTACCACAGAACGTTTATGTGTTTGTGTTATTCAGCTTATGTTGTTTGCTTCCTTTTTATTATGCCCTGAACATTTTATGTAAAACTTTAGATATGAAAATTACTACCGGAGTCAACTTACTCATTACGTTTTAAATGAAAATAAGTTATGTGTTTACTGGGATTATGTTGAAGGATGTATTTGTCTCTTTCATTCCATGCTATTTTAAATTAGTTCTACTGTTTTATAGTTCATCTGTCATGCCATGGCATATAAACTCTAGTAATGTGAGAGTATCAATTGTTCTGTAACTTCTACTGAATAATATATTACTGTAAAATTATGCTTGAATGAAATTTTGCACTTTGGATGTGCAGTAAGAATAAAAACAGATAAGGGTCCTAACTAAAACAAATATATTTTCCACCACATACTATTTAGCCAGATTTTATTATGATTAACTTAGATGGGGTGGTTAAATAAGCAAGTTTGTCAACTTAGCAGGAGCTTGAATGTGAAATGTATTCAGGATTCTGTGGCATTGAGAGACAAGCTTGTAAGCATGACCAAACAGACATGGTTGAGATAAGAGAGACAACTCTGTACTGACTACAGAACAAGAAATAAGACTGGCTGCTAGTTGGGTCCAAGGTGAAGAACTAAACCTAAGTTTTGTAACTGTACTGTCGGGGCATCCTAAACTGAATCTCATGATGTAGTAAGTCCTAGGATTGAGTTGAGAGAAATAGTATGTGTATTTAACAGTGATGAAGCAAGTAGATTAGTTTTGTGAGGTGTTATTGTGTATTTATAAGCAAAGATAGTTTCAGTGTCTTTCTGCCACAACATGTAAACCGGTAGATAAATTAAAATTTAAATATCTGCTGTGATAGAAGAAAAATAATTATTGTACTATTTAAAATTATTTTGATTATGCTTGCCATGATAGATCCATTTATATGATTAGAGTGTGTGCTGTCATATAGGAAATGAGGAAAACTCTATGTTGATATATTGGGATGTTACTGATGTGAGGAGATGAAATCAGTCAAACCTATAAAGAGTGTCAGTTGAGTATTCCCAGAATAGTAACATGGTAAGCTTTGGAAATTTTCTTTGATTGGATAATGGAGAAATGGTGTTAAATGTATAATAAACTTGCTCAATTTGATTTATAAATGTGACATGTTCTTTCTGCATGTACAGTAATTTATTCTTAATGTATATATAAAATGTACATTCTATGTTATATATGTGAAACCATCTGAAATAATGCTGATGCATTGGTGAATATGGAATATATTTTTTTATGAAAGGATCTGTATATGCTTTAACCGAGTGTAACACTAGAGTTAAAGGTGGTATTTTTAACATTTTCACATGTATAACCATGTACAGATACGATTGTACCAGGAGAATATCAATCACTACATGGCTACCATATTGCCAGTGCAGTGTAAAATTTTAACCCGCTCACTTCAAGAATGTTATATGACATTCATCCAGTGCTGACATGTAGTGTCACATATGAATGTATTTATGTAAACTTGTCTTGTGGGATGATGTTGAGGCTGGTTAACACCAGTGTGGTTCCAGGGGGGACATTCATCATCACCTCCTGGAAACCCATCTGAGTGAGAGTGATGTTTCTAAAGTGTGTTCTGTTTGACTGCACAATCTTATGTTTTCACTAGACAACTTGTCCTACTAATCTTCCAAGTTAAAAGCCACATGTCACTGGGGTAACTAGTCAGTCTCATCTTCACCAATGTGATCCGGCGTAGAATAGGTCTTCAGCAACCCATGCTTGGCACAAAAGGCGACTATGCTTATGTAAGAGACGATTAATGGGATAGGGTGGTCAGGCTCGCTGACTTGGTTGACACATGTCATCGGTTCCCAATTGCGCAGATCGATGCTCATGCTGTTGATCACTGGATTGTCTGGTCCAGACTTGATTATTTACAGACCGTCGCCATATAGCTAGAATATTGTTGAGTGCAGCGTAAAACTAAACTCACTCACTCACTCACTGACTTCACCAATGTTGCAAAATAACTGAAGACACTTTTCAATAAGGGAGGGAACTTGAGGTGATGGTGATGGAGGTCATTTTTGTGTGTTTGCTTTAGATTCCATGCAAAACCTGCTGTTAAAATTCTCTTCCAACACAATCCCTGTGATACTGCCTTTACTGCATCACCTCACTGTCTATCTACGTACACACCATCATGGTATGGAGTTTACCAATGTGCAGTATATGGTTATATCACAGTATTGCTGTGTGCCTGGGCCCTTATTATCGAAACGTTCTTAGCCCTAAGAATTTTTATTTTTTATGGTAGCCAATTTGTTAAGAATGGGCTTAAGAAGTTCGTAGAGCTAGGAACGTTTCGAGAATAAGGGCCCTGATTCCCAACGTGTCAGCATTATTCTTTTGTTATATTTTATAGTGTCAACAATGTTGCCAAAATGTGAAGGATGACATAAGCACACATATCCACATTAAGATGTGATCATCTGTGAGCAATTATATCTGGGCCAATGTTGCCATCTTTGCAGTGTCTGTTATTTTACTGAAAAAGCAATTTTAAGAATAAATAATTTCACATTTATGTGCATTTTTCATTTGTTGAAGATATAGGGATACAGGATCCAACAGTTGTTTTTCTATTCTGTCTTCTTATATCCTGGAGTATCCACCATCTCAATTCTATCACTAAAAGACTGCCTCCATGAATGTATACTAAACTTGTTCAGTTTCATTCATAAATGGTCATACCAAAGGACATTGTTTCCTTGCCGAACCACAGCATTAGGAGATAAAAGTAAAACTGACACAGGCTGATGGTATAGACGCATATGCACACACACTAACAATGCTGACTCATTGCTGATAATACCTAAAACTCTGTCTACCTATAAAGAAATCCACAAAATAATGACAACACGAATTTCTCCCCCCCCCCTCCTACGCCCCCAATTGCGTAAATCGATGCTCGTGCTGTTGATTACTGGATTGTCTGATCCAGACTCGATTATTTACAGTCGCCATATAGCTGGAATATTGCTGAGTGCGGTGGTAAACGTCCAACTAACCAACCAGCCCTCCTACGTGTTTTAGATTAGTAGATATGTAGTGGATCTAAATACATTCAATATCCGACGGAATGTTTCATACTATACAAACAAAGCTTTACCTGTTGATCATGATGCCTTTTTTGTACAAAAATGTCAGATCAACGTTGATGGTGTTTGAAATAATGAACGAATTATCAGCCTCAGCCAACCAATGTTATGGTACATTTCGTTTTCATAAGTACCCAAAGTCCGTTTGCGAATGGGATCAGACATTGGGGATATGTCATCTGATGTCTTATATTACAGTGTGCTTAACGGTCAACAGTTAACTTAAAAAACAATACGTTGTTTTCAACAAATTAAACCAGTGGTTTGTATTAAATACGTATCTTACGTAACTACAAATATACAACGGATAACTTCCTAATTCCATCCGAACTGCCGCATTATTTGTATTTCACCTTCAGAATACATTTACAGAATTTGATATGTAATCCTTTCTATTCAACAGCTTTACACAGTTCCCAATCGTACACCCGTAATGCTCGGTAGAGTCATGAAGTCAACCTGGGTTTTCAGATCGCACATCTCACCGTCCGTAAACAATATGAGGAATCAGTTCCTATCCCAAACCCAATGTCCATATATTGTCAAATTCGAGGTCCGTCCCTTCATCCCCTCACATGGGTATGCAGGCATGGTTATTAAGCATAAAAGTCGCAATCTCCATTGACCCACGTGTACTAGCAGTCCATCAGTAATCATTTTGAGTAGCATAGATCTATATTGCATAGGTTGATGTTGTCTTGACTTTCATTTCGACGTCACCAGGCACGACCACGCCTTTCAAGGAATTCAATGGAATCCAGCCTAGGTAAACTTAGGCTCAGTTTTTTTCGTTACACTGTACTGAGTCTAGCAGTGTAACGAATAACACTGAGCCTAAATGTACTCAGACGGAAGGAAATCGGGACTCATCTGAAAACATGACACGTGACTGACGATGATTACCCCACTTTCACCGTTGTTTACTCCATCGACGTCTGTTGGCAATATGATGATTTCTACACATGGACATCGAGAATAGAGATGCGCAACATGTAGATGATTTCTAATCGCCTGGCCCGGAACTCGTACACCAGCTGCCTAACTGATGGACGTTTGAAGCACTTTCCCCGTTTGAATTCGATTTCGTGTAGAGCCTAGATTCGGTTCCATTGATTCTGTATTCTTGTTGTTCACCGAAGTGGGTCGAACCTCAACATTTGGGGGTTATTGGAACCTGTTTTATTGGCGACTATACGCTGACTTCTGCATGCTTCAAGCATACCGATCGCCCGTACACACAACGTGTTGCAGTAGGGGCATCCTGAGTAAGTGTAGCGGAATTCTGGCCCATTTGTCTTGCAATGCCTGCTACAGTTGATCTAACGTCCAGGGTGCCGTTGCACAAAACAACCATAGCGCTAAGCCTACCTGAAGTCTACGTTAATGAATGGGCGCCGGTTGACGTTCACGTATGCGTTGGTTGAGGTCATCCCGCAAATGCTTGATGGGGTTGAGGTTGGGCGATTTGGAAGGCCATGGAAACACTGTAATGTTCTCATTCTGACACAGTTCTGGGCAATAGAAACGTACTCTTCCGTCACGGCACTGAAGCAGACCGGGATTCGTCACTGAACCATACACGTCGCCAGAAGTTTGTAGATTCCAGAATCGAAGGTTATTGCATCACTGGACCGTCGACGTCGATGTAGTCGTCGCAGCACAGGGCCAAAATAGGGTCTTCTGGCTCGATGTCTAGCTTCTCGTAAACGATTACGTATGGTTTGCACCGATACACTCTTCACACCAGGAACTGCAGTTCGATTTCGCAAATGAAGTACCCGGATGTATACCTATCCTGTGCGGCAATGGCAACCTCAATACCCTTCGCTGTAGGTAAACCTCTGTATGTTGACGGAGGCCCTCTCTCTTGCCGAGTCCAACATCTATACCCTTCACTGTAGGTAAACCTCCGTATGCTGACGGAGACCCTCTCTCTTGCTGAGTCCAACATCTATACCCTTCACTGTAGGTAAACCTCCGTATGTTGACGGAGGCTCTCTTGCTGGGTCCAACATCTATACCCTTCACTGTAGGTAAACGTTCGTATGTTGACGGAGACCCTCTCTCTTGCCGAGTCCAACATCTATGACATCAGTAGGTAAACCTCCGTATGTTGACGGAGACCCTCTCTCTTGCTGGGTCCAACATTTATACCCTTCACTGTAGGTAAACCTCCGTATGTTGACGGAGACCCTCTCTCTTGCTGGGTCCAACATCTATACCCTTCACTGTAGGTAAACCTCCGTATGTTGACGGAGACCCTCTCTCTTGCTGGGTCCAACATCTATAACATCTATACCCTTCACTGTAGGTAAACCTCCGTATGTTGACGGAGACCCTCTCTCTTGCTGGGTCCAACATCTATAACATCTATAACCCTTCACTGTAGGTAAACCTTCGTATGTTGACGGAGACCCTCACTCTTGCTGAGTCCAACATCTATAACATCTATACCCTTCACTGTAGGTAAACCTTCGTATGTTGACGGAGGCCCTCTCTCTTGCTGGGTCCAACATCTATAACATCTGCACCCTTCACTTTAGTAAACCTCCATCTTCTCTCGCAAGTTAGTCATGACCGTTGTAAGACTTACGGTTTGTGTACATACACAAACCTCATATCAACCAGTT